CCGACGGAGGATGATAATTGTAGTGTAAAAACATTAAAAAGCGCAGCCCCCACAATGTTTGAGACGCGTGGATACGCACCTCATTCAACCGTCTTGGATCGATTCTTGTTTAATTAAATGATAATCCTTTCTTAATTATCAATATACGTATTTTATTAAAAGACATCTACGCCAACATATCTTTAAGATTTATTTTGAATAAGCTTTGCATGTGTTAGGTTTTTTGGCGAATCTAAAAATATTTTTAGAATAGATATATATGTACTGATAGTAAAAAAAAAATTATGAGATTGACATCAATAAAATTTCAAAGTGGACACTAAAAACGGACAGAGTTAAGATTTCATTTGAAGGAGCAAAGTATAACTTTTTAAAATTGGGAAAAAATTCATAATTATCTCATAAATATTTAAATTTTATATATAAATTAAAGGAAAAAAACAAATTTTTGGTTGGTGGGGAGCCACAAGCTCTTAGTGGCTGCGTCCTTAGTGGGTACAATTAGTAAAATAAATAAAAAAACATAAAATAAATTTAAATTTCAAAGTGAATATAAAAATTTTAAGATAATACAATCAATAAAAAGAATAACAACAAGTACCTATCTTAAAATATACATGCATCCGCCAGCGGTTAGGCTAAAATTAAGAAGGCTAAAACAATAATAAAAAAGTCACTCGTTTAGTTAAGCTTTTAAATTAGAAGTTGTAATTAACTATAGTTTTTTATAATATTTTTAACCATCTGTTGAATTGTTATGTGACACGTGATGTAAAAAATGACGTGGAAGGGATTAATTGGATATTATTTTCAATTAGATTGATTATTTTATTAGGATTTCTTTAAATCTAAAAAATAAACAACCTGATTAGCGCTAACACTTTATAGATCATTATGGGGGGGGGGGGGGGAAGAAACTCAATTAATTACCTTTTAGAATTTAAACAATTTAATTTGATGGTACCTAATTCTGGCCACACTCATGGCTTAAACAAATGGAAAAGGCAAGAAGCTAGATTTCGCTTTTTGGTTTGTTTAATCGGGAAGCATATGGTTATTTGGCATGATGCGATGCATCATTATACTTCAAAATATCTCCACCATCACTGCCTATGTTAGTGCACCAACTTGGATGAATTAACAATTAGACAGTGTAGACATCATTTTTTCATTTAAATTTTTTATTATTATTATTAAAATTATTATTATTATTATTAGTATTATTATTATTATTATAATTATTATTATCATTATTTATTATTATTATTATTAATATTATATATTATTATTATTTAATAAATAATTACAACTGGACCGGCCCAGTTACAAACCAAACAGAACCGGTCCAGATAACCAGAAACCCTAAATGATTAGTAAGGTTTCAGCTAGGGTTTCTAAACCCTAGCCACCCCCAGCCGCCTCTGAGCTTCCAGAATCCCAGCCGCCTCTGATGCTTCAAGAATCCCAGCCGCCGCCTCACTGCCAGGTGTTCCAATGCCCCACTGCCGACGCCTCCACCGCCATTGTCGACACTCCAGAACGTCACGAAGCTAACCACGTTGAGCCCTATGGTGAGTCACCACCATAGCTATGGTGACTCACCGGGCCTTTCATCTCTGGAACCGGTCCAACGAGAGCTTCGGTGGTGGCTATAAAGCCACCCCACCTGCAAGAAAGAAAACACAGCCACAGACGGCAGAGAACGACAAGAAAAAAAACAAAAAGAAAAAACAGAGAAAGAGAACACAGCAACCAACAAAGCAAGAACTACACCGACGATCCCAGGAAATACAAACCAAAAAGAGAAAAAAGAGACTTACCGAGAAAATCGCCGTCGTGAGAGCCTCCACAAATCATCAGAGAACCAAACGTCGAAGAGAAATATCCTAGATCTACGATTGGTAAGGTTTTAAGCTAAAATAACCTTAGACCTAGATATAGAAAAACAGAGGCTTTGATTTGGGGTGGGTTTTGTAATTTCCGGCACCGCTAACGGTGGCCGGCGGCAGCAATCGGAGCCCGACAGCGGTGGCTGACCGGGCCGGCTTCTCTCTAATTTTAGAGAGAAGCCAGAGAGAAATCTTCTTCTCTCTGTTAGAGAAGAAGAGAAATGAAGAAATGAATGGTTGGCCCGAAGGGCCAACCGGTTTAGGGTTTATAAACCCTCTTCCATACGACGTCGTTTAAGGGGGAGGGTATCTGTGTAATTAACTAAAGGTTAAACCCTTTCAGTAGCCATCTAAACTGTAACTCTTACATTCTAGTCACTAAATCAAATTTATAATCCTTTTAATTCGGTCCTTTAATTTTAGATTTATTTATTTTAGTCCTTTCTATTAAATAATATATTAGGATAAATACGTATTTAGTCCTTTAGTTTTAATAAATAATATTTTAATCCCGAGTATATATTTTTAATTTATTTTAAATCTGATATTGAATTTTTTTATTTTTATTTTAGTCATCAATTAATAAATAAGGAAAATAGCATTTTTTAATCCCTATAATTTTAATAATTAATTATAAATTAGGTATTTAATTTTATTAGATTATAATTTAGTCCCTAAGTTAATATTTTCATTTATTTTACGAGCTTTATTATTTTGTATTTTAAATATTATTTAATCATATGTTACCTTTTTTTTATGTTCATACTATTTAATTATCATTACTATTATTATATTATTCTTTATTAATTATGTCAATATATATATCTTAAAATATATATAATATTTATTTATTCTATTTTCCTATTTAAAATTTAATTTTATAAATTACTTTTAAGAAAAATAATTATATTTGATATTTATTTATTTTAATATCAAGAAAAGAGCTGTCTTAAAGCACCTAGAAGCTCTTTTCTGATATTTTTTTGAATAAATAAATATCTTACTAGTAAAATAAAATGTTTTTTATTTATTTTTAAATATTAATAAAAGAGCTGTCTTAAAGCACCTAGAAGCACTTTTCTGATATTTCTAAATAAGTAATATATTATTTATGTATATTAATATATTTTCTTTAAAATTTTGAAATAGTAGAATTATAAATTAAATATATTTTGAATTTTTAAAATTTTAATAATAGAGACAATTATAGTTAATAAGTACCAATTTTGGGCGTTGTAGGGGTGCTAATCCTTCCCTAAACGTAACCGACCACGAATCCCTTTTTATTATTAAAAGAACGAATTTTTGGTTAAAACGTAGATCAGTTTATCTTTTAATTGATGTTTCTTAAAAACTCTTTTAAAAGATATTTTTTAGGTATTCGACCTACCTGATCCAAAAGGCCGATGGCGACTCCCAATTATTTCAAAACCATTTATTCATATCACTTTTCCCGTCAAGTTAAATATTCGTGCCCGGACGAAAACCGTTACAAGCTTGGCGCGACTCCACTGGGACCTGTCAAACTTTTAAAAATAATTATAAATCGTCTCTATTAGTTAAAAATTAAAAATTTATATATTTAATTTTAATTCTTTCTTTTCAAACTTTTTATTTTTTATTATTTTTATAATATTTATATTTTTATTTTATTTGCAAGTATTTTATTTCAGTATTTATTTTTATGTCAAAAGTTTAACATTTCTCCTCACACACAACACTTGCATTACATTACATAAAGCTCTATAATTGAGTTATCCCCTTTTAAGTGGGAGTGAAAGCAACGTCTTCGTGAGAATTTATTCTCCGTGTCAGACCTAGCAAGTAACTTCCGGGTTCATGCTCTATGTCTTCGTGAGAATTTATTCTCCGTGTCAAGCATAGAGAAATGTATCCCCTCAAATTGAACTCGATCCATTTAAGTCTGTAATGGACTAGGATTGAGGTTGACAGTCCAGGGGGCATCAACAAGAACAATTCGAGTACCTTTACTCCTAGAACTGAAACTCTGCATATAATGAACCCTAGAAATTCTTCTGATCTAAGACAATACTGAACCTCTGTTCATAGGTATACACAAAGGAGAAATAAGCTCTAGCTTTAATTTATTTCCTTTTCATTTCCTGAATATGTCCACATAGTAGTATCTCCCATTTAACATTGTAAATGCTTCTTTTTTTTGCTTCAAATTCCTTAGTTTTTGACAATTTTGGAGAATTATGGTTTTGCCTCTTTAAATTAAAGATTTTTCTTTATGATCTTAACTATTGACAAATGTTTCGACGAAAACGCATATATCGCTGCTTGTATTGTCGGAAAGTTGTTTGTATTATTACGGTTAGATATTATTGTTGTTTTAATGTGATAAACCCATTAATTATATATTTGACACTTATTATTACAATATTATATTGTTGTTTTAATGTGGTGTACATTTAATTAAACCTAAATAATATTTATAAACTTTTAAAATATATTTTAATAAATATTAATATTATATCAAATAAACCTACATAATATTAATTATACGTTGAAATTCATTTCTAAAAATGCGAACGAATAAGCATCATGAAGATTTTAAATATAAAATAGTGTATTTATAACACAATCAACATAAATTATTAATATTATCTAAATATTTAGTTTGACGTACTTATAAAAATACAAATTTTTATAAAATATAATTATATAAAAAAAATAAAATGAACCTTTAATAAAACTAAAAAGTAAAGAATAAAAACATATCGAATATGTATGCTTCTTTATTAAAAATAGATTCTGAAAACTATTTTCAGAAAAATTATTCAAACAGTGTAAAACATTTTACAATGTACCATCCAAACACTGGAAAATGTTTTTCCGAAATGTAATTCATTTTCCAAATTTTATTTTTCAAAAAATATTTTCAGTGAAACAAACGGACCCTAGGTTGTGTGCCTTGAGTGTCTAATTAATTTGAAGTTTTCTTGACAACTTTATAAGGTTGAGGGTTTCTTTGATTGGTCAGTTTGCACTAATAATTGTTATACTTTTGATATTGTAATTGAAGGTTCTGAGATTAGTTGTATTGCGACCAATTATCATTTCATTGTGGGATTGCTTTTTTTGTGAATACAGTTTTTGGAAGTGGGTCTAGAATTGGGGAATTCTTACAGTGAGGTTATTGCTCCTCAAGATGTTGCTACTTATGGATGGCTTTGTGCACTTGCAAGCTTTAATCGAACTGAGCTAAAGGTATCTATTCTATTTATACTTTCTGTTGAACCATGTTTTATAATGTTTTGATATAAAAAATTAAGACAAAATGCTTATGGACTTGAATTGAATTTATTCAAAATTTTCAAAGTTTTAAAAAATAATTCAAAGTCCATTAAAAGTGAATTTGAGCACAAAACTGATTTTCATGTACGAAGTACCGATACTGTTCTTACAGTATCGATATTATATGAACAATATCTATACAGTTCATGGGTACCGATACCCTAGGTAAAAGAAGTATTGATACTCTCAAGGTAGTACCGATACTACTGTAAATAGTGTTTAAGTTAAACTCTGAATCCTAACTTATCTCTAAAACTATCTCCTAATTTGTATAAAAGATTAAGTCTATCTTATCTAAGTCTCTAATTAATGTATATAAAAATCCCATGTATCATCTTGTGTAATATGCAATTGTTCTTTGAATAAAAATAATTTTAGAATAAAAAACTTTGTTTACCAGAACCGAAAAACTCTATTTACTAGAGTCGGAAGACTCTGTTTGTACATGATATAATTCGCTGGTGTCGATCCCAGCCTTGCTGCCGCCGTCGTTTGTCATCCTTCCGACCAGTAGTGTGTCTTCTGTGCACTGTTATCCTTCCAATTATGAAGTCCTTTGTAGCACTGTCCTCATCGCAACCTTATTATCCTCGTATCGTCGCACCCCTCGCAACGCCACCCTCTTTGTAGCACCGCCCCTTTGCAGCAACGTCTTCCTTGTTGCATAACCACAACAGTGCTATTTTTGTCACAGCGCTGCTCTTTTCTTCGTACTACTCTTATCGCGCCGTCTGTCTAGCACTACCCTCATCACAGCGGTAGCATTTCCTGTTCCGCTATTTGGTACATGTTTCACCGCTGTTTGGTACCTGTTCTGTCACTGTTGGTAATTGTTCGGCCAGCACTGTCTCCTCGCCACATAGCTCATTCGATACTCATCCTAGCACCGATCTCCTCAAATATATGATTGTCACTTATAGTAGTGTTCCCTACTTTTTCGCTACATATCCCAAGCTCTCAATTCCTCTGCAGTCATGGCATATCCTTCTTCGTCCCACATGTCATTCTAGGTTGAAACTTCCATTATTCAGCTGTCTTCTTCCGACTCAGTTTCCTCGTTCAACGCTTGTCATCGTCTAAATGGTGAGAATTACATTGTCTGGTCTCAATCCGTGCATCTATTCATCACCAGTCGCCGGAAACAACAATATCTCTTTGACAATATGCCGATTCCCGATCCCTCCGACCTCCAATATGACACTTGGCTCACCGAGAACACCACAATTATGGCATGGCTCCTCAACTCTATGATGCCTGACATTAGCACGAACTTCATGCTCTACACCACCGCTTCGAAAATCTGGAACGCTGCCAAGGATACGTACTCCAATCAGGAAAACTCGTCTGCTCTGTTTGCCATTGAATGATGAATCAACGACTTGAAGCAGGGCGATCTCACTGATACCCAATACTTCACTCAACTGTCTCGCTTATGGTAGCAAATTGATATGTTTAAGTCTCCCGATTAGTAAACCGGTGTAGATACCAAACTCTACAAAGGGCTACTTGAAAAACGATGTATTTTTCAATTCTTATCGAGATTATTTGTCTATTTTGATGATATTTGTGGTTGGATTTTGGTCATCAAGCCTCTTCTGTCTCCTCGTGAGGTATTCTCTAAAGTTCGCCGAGAAGAAAGCCACCGCTCTCTGATACTTCCTCTACCCGTTGAAAGTTCTACCTTAAATACCCATTCATCCAGTGACACCCGTGTGAAGAAATGTCGTCCCTGGTGCGATCACTGTCAGAAACCTAGTCATGTTCGTGATAAATAGATGAAGCTCCATGGTCGTCCATCCAACTGGACTCCATCCAAAGCCTCCTCTCGTCTATATCTTCCAGCCAATTGGAGGGTGGTTCATTTTCTCGTCAACAGCTGGACGATCTATGTTAGATGTTTGGTCATTTATAGATTCCTCCTGCTAATGAGTCCAAGTCTGCCTACACTGTTAGTGAATGTAGTTATCCTTTACCTTCTTATTCCCTTCATCAGGGTGTGTCTCTTTGATGTTGATTTTGGAGCAAGTGATCATATAGGGGAGATTCAGTTTATTTCCACATTTCACAAAAATGGTATCTCATGCAATGTCCGTACTGTTGATGCTCCTATCACCGATTAAGAGTAGTGGCTCAGTTCGCATTAATAGCCATATTACTCTGTCTAATGTTCTATTTGTTCCAAGTTTGACTTGCAATCTTCTTTCGATTAGCAAATTATCTTGCAATCTTCTTTCGATTAGCAAATTATCTATCGATTTGGGTTGTACTTCTCATTTTACTCGTGATATTGTGAATTTTAGGATTTGACCTCGGGGATGTTAATTGACAATGCTAGGTGTCATGGTGGACTCTATATCATTGACGCTCCTCTTTATACTCTTGTTCCCAACTACTCACTTGCACCATTTATCTATTCTTTTGTTTCAGTTTCTCCCACAGATGTACTGCTGACATTGTGTTATGGCATTTTAGGTTAGGTCACCCAAGTTTCTTATCTTGCAAATTTTTTCCCAATTATTATTAATAAAAATCCCGCATCATTTTCTTGTGATATTTCTCTATTGCAAAAAACATTTAGAGTTCTTATCCTCATTTTCCCTTTCACTCGCCTAAACATATTTCCTTAATTCATAGTGACATTTGGGGACCTTCACGGGTTATGGGTTTACATGGAATTCGTTGATTTATTACTTTTATTGACGATCACTCTCGTACCATATTGACCTTTCTTATTAATGATGTCTTAGTCTTGTACCATCTTCAAACGATTCCACAAAATGGTTGAAACACAATTCTAAAGTTACATTGGCATCTTTAAATCTGATAATGGTGGGGAATACCTCTCTCAGTCATTGGGATCATTCTTCCAGGAAAACGGAATAGTCCACCTCACTTCTTGTGTTGACACTCCATAAAAAAATGGGGTCATTGAATGTAAAAACTGTCATATTCTTGAGGTAATTCGAGCACTCTTTTTTCCTTGTAATGTTCCAAAATACTTTTGGGGTGAGACTATCTTAACTACTTTTTTAATCAATTATTTTTCTAGTAAGTTTCTTTCCTTTATGTGTCAATGGAATATCCTTTCTACTAAATTCCCTCACTTCAAACCTTTTACATGTTCTATTCCTCTTCGTGTTTTGGTTGTACTGTCTTTGTCCATGACCACGATCCTCATAAATCTAAACTTGATCCTCAGGCAATTCGATGTGTCTTTTTGGTTATTATTCTCATCAGAAGGTTATCGTTGCTACTCTCCTTCTACAAAAAGTTTTTCACATCTATGGATGTCAATTTTCAAGAACATAAATCGTTTTTCTCAAAAACCAAAATTCAGGGAGAGAGTGAGTTTGAATTCAATTTTTACCGATTATTATTGAGTTACCCATCATTCTATCTTCTACTAAAACAACTACCACTCAACAACCTCCTAACACCACCACATATGATAATGAAAACAATCCATTAATCCCATCGAATCTCATGAAACACCTAGACCATCTACCAATATTCTCATCTATAAAAGATGGCCCAAACAAGCCCTACCTTCCACACTGCAGCCAATGCATTGTCAAGAGCCAAAACTGGGTTTAAATCCATCGACAGACAAAAGAGATAGTGACCAAAGTAAGGTGGATGTGGTAATTGATACTAGTGAGTTACCAATTGCTAAAAGAAAAGGAGTTAGATGATGTACAACTCATCCTATTAGTAAATTTGTTGCTTATGGGAAACTAATGTATGGTTTTAAGACTTTCACAGCATAGGTTGATCATATTCACATTCTAGAGACCATAGAGGATACATTAAAAAGTCCTGAGTGGAAGAAGGCATTTAAAAAAGAAATTTCAACTCTAGAAAACAACAAAACCTGGGTCATTGTTGATCTACCTAAAGACAAGAAATCAGTCGGCTGCAAATAGGTCTTTACTGTGAAATTTAAGGCAGAAGGAAAAATTGAGAGATATAAGGCTAGACTTGTAGCAAAAGGGTTCACTCAGACTTATGGAGTTGACTATTAGGAGACCTTTGCTCGATTTACAAAACTCAACACTGTTCGAGTTCTATTATCCTTGGCAGTGAACAAGGATTGGATACTTCACCAACTAGACATAAAAAATTCATTTCTCAATGGCAATCTTGAAAAAGTGGTCTATATATAAGTTCCAGTAGGAATTCATTATGGAAATAACCGGGTATGTAAATTACTGAAATCCTTATATGGTCTAAAATAATCACCTCGAGCTTGGTTTGATAGATTCACGAAGGTAATGTTACAAGAAAACTACAAACAGTGTCAATCCAATCACATTCTTGTTGTAAAAACTGCTCCTGATAAGAAGTCAATCTTGATTGTCTATGTTGATGATATCTTTATCACGGGTGATGACTTGGTAGAAATTGAGAAGTTAAAGACATTACTAGCAAAAGAGTTTGAAACCAAAGATTTGGGAACTTTGAGATATTTCCTAGGCATGAAGGTAGCAAGATCACGAAAAGAAATTGTCATAAATAAAAAAAGTATATTCTATTCTTACTTTTGAAACTGGAATGACTAATTGTAAGCCCTCGGAAACTCCTATGGAAGTTAACTTGAAATTAAGTAAGGATGGAAACCCGGTAAATAAGGAACATTATCATAGGCTAGTTGGTAAACTCATTTATCTATCTCTAACTAGACCTAACATTGCTTTTCCTATTAGCATTGTTAGTCAATACATGAATGATCCAAGAGAAGAACATCTGGAGGCAGTTAATTGAATCTTAAGATATCTAAATATGACACCAGGACATGAGTTGATTTTCAGAAAACATGAAGACAAAACAGTTAAAATCTACTCAGATTCAAGCTGGGCTGGAGAATTAACAAATAGAAGGTCAACCACGAGATACTGCTCATTTGTGTGGGAAACCTAGTGACATAGAGAAGTAAGAAACAATCAATAGTCTCCAGAAGCATAATATAAGGCGACAACACTCGGAATGTGTGAAGGAATTGGGCTACAAAGACTCTTAACTGAACTAGAGATGTGTGATAACAACAATTTTGAACTTCAGAATGACAAAAAATCTGTGATAAGCATTGCAAAGAACCTGGAGCATCACGATAGAAAAAACATGTGGAGATCGACAAACAATTTATTGCAGAAAAAGTGAATGGCGAAACTGTGAAACTAAATTACGACCCTTCACAAAACCAACTAGAAGATGTATCGACCTATGCACTTCCAAGGATTACCTTTAACGAAATTACATCCAAATTGGGTCTTCACAATATTTACTCCCCAGCTTGAGGGGGAGTGTAAATAGTGTTTGAGTTAAACTCTAAATCCTAACTTATCTATAAAACTATCTTCTAATTTGTAGAATAGATGACTTCTATCTTATCTAGGTCTTTAATTCATGTATATAAAAATCTCTTGTATCTTCTTGTGTAATATGCAATTGTTCTTTGAATAAAAATAATTTCAGAATAAAAAAACCATGTTTATAAGAACCGAAAAACTTTGTTTACCATAATCGAAAAATTTTGTTTACCAGAGCTGGAAAACTCTGTTTCTACAACTACCAGCTTGCTCAAATTCCAAAATGTAAAATAGGTACCGATACCCAAAGGGGTACCGATACTACTTTACATAGTAGTATCGATACTAGGGTTGAGCAACGAAACCGAGAAAACTGAAAAAAAATGACATGAACCGAGTAAAACGGTTCGGTTCGGACTTATCTTTTATGGTTCAGTTTTGGGTTGATTTAAACACTCAATTGTCTTCATTCGGTTCGGTTTGATTTTTCCATATGGAACCCACTTGTTCCATATTGAATCGATTAACAAGTTTGGTTGGATGTTGGTCCAAATTTGGGTTATGGATCATTGCCCTTTGAGTACAAGAATGAGGTGGATCCAGAGCCAGAAAGATGTAGAATAATAGATGGGAAGAAATGAATGTGCAACAAAGAAGCAGTCCCGGATCACAAATACTGCGAGAGACACATACACAGAGGCCGTCAGCGCTCAAGAAAGCTTGTAGAAGCTTCTAAAGCTACCACCACCAACAATAGTCGTGTTAGACATCAAAATGACGATACCAACCTCTCCATTTCTCTGTAGCTCGATAATAGTAGTAGTAGTAACCATGGAAGCAATATGTCTTCTGACTTTATCGGTTTCTCTCCAAAGAGTGTTCTCCGAGGAATCAATAAAAAATCTGAGTCCTCGCTGCAGTTTCAAGAGTTTTAGGGATGTTTTTTGGGGTAATGCTTGTAGGTTAGGTGGTTTAGGGTTTATAAAAAATTAATTTATTAAAAATCACATTATCGAACCGAATCGAACCGAAAAATTTGGTTTCATATATTTCGGTTTTTATACCATTCGGTTTCGATTTTGGTTTTAATTTTAAAAAATCGTTTATTGTTGTTCGATTCAATTTTTATTAAAAAATAAACCAAACTGAATACACCTTTAATTGACACCATGAAGGATAGTATCGATATCGTTAGGCCCAACGGCTAGTTTTATTTAAATATTACAAAGGTAGTACTAATACTCCCTATAGGAGTATCGATACCCTCTATCCTGGGCAATTTTATTTTGCATAGAAAACATCACAACGGCTCCGAATCACTCCCAACAGCTAGAAACGTCCACAAACACATTTCAACATATAAATACAAGTTCAAGACACTTGAAGAAGGGTTAGAACACCTATTCAAGCAATCAAATATAAGAGAAACATTTTTCACTCTTTATTTTCTCTCTTGTAAATATTGTGTTTTTGTGAGCTTTAATTTGTAAACACCCTACCTAGTAAAGGTTTTATCGTTTACTTCTTTTATATTTTTGAAAAGGGGTTTTGGTTTTAGCTAAGACTTTGAAAAGCTAGGGAGTTTGTAAAGGTTATCTCTTTGTCCTTGAAAAAGAAAGAACAAATTAGTGGATTTATTGAAAAATCCTAACTGACGAGCTTAGGTAGTGAATGTAAACTTCATTGAGAGAGTTGAACCACTATAAATCTCTGTGCATTAATTTTCTCAACCTTAATTTCTCCTTACTCCTTAAAATTCTTAAAAAGCCAATTCACCCCCACTTGGAAAAATTATTTCAGTTGTCAATTTTGAGCTTCAACAATCCCAACAATTAGTATCAGATCTTAACTCTTTAAAAGACTTCACATCCTTCAAATGATCCTTGAAGAAGCTCTACTGATTTTTGACACAACCGACAAGAAGATAACTTCGACCTCCGGCTCTTACTACATTGAAGACTTTTAACTGGTTAACAAGTCACCTTATTTTAATGGAGCAAACTACGCCTATTGGAATAATAGGATAATGCTCTTCATTCAAGCCAACAATCTAGGATCTTGGAACTCAATCGTTAAAGGATACTCCAGTCTATCTGGTGAGATAGATGATTGGAGTGATGAAGAGAAGAAATTCTAACTCAATGCTAAGGCTATGCACATCCTCTTCTGTACATTAGACCTAGATAAATATGAAAGAGTCTCATCTTGTTCTAATGTCAAGGAGATTTGGGACAAGCTTGAAGTTACTCATGAAGGAACCAACGAAGTGATGGAAATCAAGATCAGTCTTCTCAACCATAACTATGAGAATTTCAAGATAAAATCGGATGATGACATCTAAGCTATGACAGATATATTTTTCATGATTGTCAACGGTCTCAAGGGATTTGGAGAAATAATCCCTAATAAGAAGCTTATGAGGAAGATGATCTACACTCTTCCAAAGTCTTTGCAATTAAAGAAGACAACGATTATCGAAGCTAAGAACCTCAACTCACTCACTCTTGATAAGCTTATCGGTTCTCTTCTCACTCATGAGTTGATGATAAAGAAAGAAGAAAAGAATAATAATAAGAATGAGGTAGGCATTGCCTTCAAATCCACCAATGAGAGCAATCAAGAATCAAATGAAGAGGTGGTTGAAGACGATGATGATGAAGAAGAGATGGCCAAGCTTTTCAAGAGATTCACGAATTCAAAGGAAATGAAGCATGAATCAAGCAAAAAAAGAGTCCCTTAATGTGCTTTGAATGTCAAAGAACGGGGCATGTCAAATATGATTGTTCCCTTCTAAAGAAAAAGTGATCAAGTAAAAAGAAGGCATTTGTAGCAGCTTGGAGTGATGAAGATGACTCCAATGATGAAAATGAAATAGCCAATCTATGTCTCATGGCCATCAATGAAGATTCAATGGTAACTTCTGACTCTAGTGAATTAGATTCTTATTCTTTTGAAGAGTTACAAGTTGCTTATAATGAGTTGTATTTTGGAATTTGAGACCATAAATTCTAAATATAAGAAATTAATTTCAAAACTTAAAGTTGAAAATGATTTGGTTTTGAAAGAAAAAGTTGATTTTGAAAAACAAAATGAATATTTGAAAAATGATTTAGAGCTTTCAAAAGTCAAAATCAATGATTTAGAAAAAGAAAATTTTGATTTGAAAGTTAAGCTTGAGAGCTTAACAAAAGAAAAATAATTAATTTCTAAAAACAACTCATTATGTTTAAAAATGACAAAATGTTCACATTGTCATTTTCATGGTCATACAGAACATGCTTGTCTTATAAAGAAAAGAAAATCTTTTAAAATTAGACAAATATGGGTACCTAAGGGAACAATGAGCATTGAAACTAATATTCAATGATCCAAAGCAATTTGGATACCAAAATCTACTTAAATGTCTCTTGTAGGTGTGTAGGAGCAATGGTGATGAAAATGAAGTTATTCAAATGTTCTAGCCACACTTGAAAAATAATGGGTAATCTCTAAGCTTAATGTTTTTGTTTTGATTAATTGGTTGCTCATTTAGTTTTAAGCATGCATGAGTTTTGATTTTAAATGATTTTATGTTTTTTTTATCTTATGTATGTTAAAAAGGTCACTGCAAGAAATTTCTACTATTGTGACAAATTTAATTTTCTCAAAATTAATTTTGTCACTATTAGTTGCTTTTTGGTGACAAAATAAATAATCATCGCATTAGATTAAAAAAAGATATACAATTATGACAAAAGCTAAAATCATCCAATTAAATAACATGTGTAACATATAGTGACAAAATAAATTTTATTACTAATTTTTTGACACAATCCCTCCAATTTTTTGGCTCCAAATTGAAGACATATATTGACAACTTTTGTAACTAAAAGTTTTAGTAACTATGACAGAAAAAATTATCACAATAAATAATGAGAATTAGATTTGTTGTGAAAAATTTTGTTTATAATTATATATTTTAATTATAGTGACAAAATGTACAGACACAAATGATTATGTCCATTTTTTGGTAAAAAAACAAAATCATATAGTGACATGTTTTGTAACTATAAGCTATAATTATTGTTAAAAAATAATTGTCACAACAAATAATGAGATTTAAGTTTTTAGTAAAAAACAATGTTTGCCGTTATATTGTTTTAATTATAATGACAAAATATATTATCACAAAGATTTCCCTCCATATTTTTTGCGCCAAAAAAGTCATATAGTGATAAAATTTTGTAACTATAAGTGTTAATAATTATTACAAAAAACATTGTAAAAATATAATTATATTCACGTTTTTGTGATAAATTATATTTGTAGTTATAAATTTTAACTATAGTGATAACATATATTAATTATCATAAACTATTTTTCTTCACTTTTTTGTTTCAAAAGTTATATTGACAATTTTTATAATTATAATTTATAGTTATTGTTATAGAAAACATTATCACATCAAATAATAAAATTCAAGTTTTTTGTAATAAATAAAAAATTTATGTCAAATTTATTTTGTCATAATATTTTTTCAAAATAAAAAATTTTGACAAAGTTATTTAATCAAAATAATAATGTATAACAAATATTAATTGCTCATCATAAAAAATTGTGACAAGTAATATTCTTTCACGATAACAAATTGCAACAAAATGATTTAGTCACAATAACACGTTAAATTAAACAATTATGTCAAATATATTTCGTCGCAATATTTTGTTGAAATAAAAAATTGTGATAAATTTATTTAATCAAAATAACTATTTATAACAAATATTAATTTCTCATTATAAAAAATTATGAAAAATAAAATTATTTCACAATAACAAATTGTAACAAAATTATTTAGTCACAGTAAAAAAGTTATAAAAATATTTAGTGTCGAAATAAAAGTAGTGATAAAATAAATTTTGTTGTAATATGTCTTTTTGACACGAAAATCTTTTCTGTTTGATGTTATAATTTAACTTAATTGTGACAAAATTTACTTTTTGTGATAAAATAATTATTTTATTTTAACAAATATTTTGTCTCTGTAAGTTACATTTAGTGACGAAATAGTAACTGCGACAAAATAATTTTTGTTGCCTTTTGTGGTTCGTTTGCCGATGCAATCAGATTATTCGTAATTATTTTTCTTCGAGTCTTTTGGTTTGATTTTTAACTTTTTCATGTATGGTCCTTATATGATCTAAAGTGGCTAGTTTTAATGTTATAGGAAAAATCCAAATTATGTATTTAGTTTACGATGATAATTAAATTCTTATTGTAATTTAAGATATTTTTACTTTTTAATAATACTAGTTGATTCTATTAAAAAAAGTACAAGCTTGATGTAAGTTAACTCTTGAATAGAAAAAAATGAGAGTATTTCGATAAAATAATTTATTATAATTATTTAATATTTAATTTATTAATTGAATAATTCGATATCGAACTTGATAGTCTCTCTCAAGTGTTTGCCCAAATCCACACCTATATGCATGCATTGGGATTATCATACTTCAATTTCGGCCACCCTATATAAATTCCCCAAAAATTCTTTCTCTTTATAATTAGGTCGAGTTATGTACGTGAGGCTATCATGCAACATCTAATTAAATAATGCCACATTCAAATAAATATTTGAGTCTAAAATGCACATATAACTATATATTTTACAAGTATAACAATGAAATTTTAATATTTTAAAATTATTAAACCTATTATGGTCATATTAACATGTGACAAATATCTTTTATTCTAAATCAATTAATAACTAACAATATTTTTTTATCTCATTACTTAAAATCAAAAATAAAATCTAATGATATAATACATACATGCATAAAAAATGTGCACATACCACATACATTAAAATAATATAAATGTCATTACTTATAAACAAAACTAAATCTACTGCCAATAACTTATCCTTATATTCATTACTGACATAAAGGACCAAAACAACAAAAAATCACAACCAGACATACAAAATAGACATTAACCAATAAACTAAACAAGCCTGCTAAGTGATTAAATTATCAAATAACCAAAATTACATGTTAAATGCGAAAATGAACAAAAATGAAAAATAACATAAACTTAGGACTAAAATATAACATGTAAAAATTTAATGGTCAAATGTCTAAAACAGCAAAAATTTAAGAAATTAACACTATGACTAAAATTAAATGCTCTTAAAATAAATAGATAAAACTGTAAACATGCAAACCTTGATTTGTGGATCAAAATGAATTACAAAGAAAATATGATGACCCTTAGCTCAAATAACCTATCAATTTTAATTGAAACCTAAATCTGGAAAATAATAAAATCAGGATAAATATAAAAGGTTAAATTTGAAAACAATCCTAATTAGTGACTAAAATGAAATAAATGCTAAGAAACAAAACCTAATTTTACCTCTAAGTTTTGGTGACTAAACCCTAATTTACCCAAAAAATTAATATATAACCTAACTAAGAAACCCTAAACTAAACCTAATCACTCTTATCAACAAACTCAATCGTTTAACCCTCTTCTATCTCAAACTCACCTCTCGGTCGAATCTCACCAGAGCCTCCATCGCCGTCGGTTGTCGGTGGTCTCCTCAGTGATTACTCTTCGCTCCAGCCACCTACCACGCTAGTAAGTTAAGCTACACTAAACCTAAGACTTACTAAACCATTCCCTCTACTCTTCTTTTCAAACCGAAAGCTCCAAGATTCTTCACGCCGGCCACCATGCTTAGGTGGCCACGTCCATCTCCAGCTATCCCCTAAACCACCCAGTGAAAAACCTAGGCCATCTTAAACAAACCGAGACGCCTCATGGAGACTCACTTATCTGAGACCTACTCTCAATTCAGACTCACCCAAACCCCCGAAATAAAAACCCTTATTTTATGTCTAAACCCCCTCATCTCTATGTTAAGGAAAACCTAAAATCCCCTAAAACAGCTTTCGAACTCCCACGCTCCTAGCCCTAACTCCGACGATGGATGGCTCAGGTAAATCTCTCTCTCTGTTTCTCCGTTTTATTGGTTTCAAAGAAAAATAAAACAAAGATAGCCACTGATTTTTTATGAAAGATATAAAATAAATAAATCAAATACGAAAATGGGTTTTATTTCTTACTTTGCTTCTAATACAAAGGAAAACGAAAAAGAAATGTGTTGTATTGCCATTGATCCTCTGTTTGCTTCCCGAATGGAAGAATGGAATATTCCCCGTTTACAGTTTGTTCCCCCCTTTTTCTTGATGAAAAGTGCCTCTTAATGAAAAAATGGCTTCCTCCTTTTCAAATGGGAACTAGGTAATATAATAGCTCTCTCCTGCTCCTCCTTGTTACCCCCTAACCGTTTTTGTTTTTATCCCGTTATTACTGGTCACCAATCTGTTATTTTGCTGGTGAATAAGCTCGAGGTGACCCATTTTGCTTGCTGAATGACCAGTTTGGTGACGAGGCTTGATGGGACCAGCTGAGACTGCTAACGTGGAGGATAGGAACTCGGACGAAATTAAGGTATAACAGAACCATCTTGGGTTACAAGAGGTAGTAAAGCTTTGAACTTTTAGTATTACTTCCAATTCATTTTTATTTATCTTAAGCTCTGCTTTTTCTTTAGAAATTAGAGAAAGATTGTATAGAAATTGAATGTTTTGTTTGTGTATGAGTAAAATTAGCTAATGTGATGTGTTTGATTTCCTTTCATATTTTGCGTTTATTGGCTAAGAAAGTGTTTTGGAACAAAGTATGGGATTGTAAACTAGATGATTCAGTTTGCCTGTGAACTCTGTTTTCTGTTTATAAGTTATAACGATTGCATCAATTATGATTCATTATAAAACCGTATAAACCTTTAGCTTAGTTCATTTAATGATATCTCGGTTGTATGTCTCGTTATAGTGATTTTAAGCTTTCATTTAATGGTATCTTGCTTGTGAGAACATTACGATAACTAATTGTAACAAATTTATTTAGTTACAATAACGTAGTAAATTTAGTCAAGATAAAAATTTATGTCAAATTTATTGTCACAATATTTTGTCAAAATAAAAAATTCTGATAAATTTATTTAATCAAAATAATAATTTATAACAAATATTAATTTCTCATCATAAAAAATTGTGACAAGTAATATTCTTTCACAATAACAAATTGTAACAAAATGATTTAGTCACAGTAACACGTTAAATTTAGTCAAAGTAAACAGTTATGTCAAATTTATTTCTCCCCAATATTTTGTCAAAATTAAAAATTGTGACAATTTTATTTAATCAAAATAACAATTTATAACAAATATTAATTTCTCATTATAAAATATTGTGACAAATAGTATTCTTTTACAATAACAAATTGTAACAAAATTATTTAGTCACAGTAAAAAAAGTTATAAAAAATATTTAGTGCCGAAATAAAAGTAGTGAGAAAATAAATTTGTTGTAATGTCTTTTTGTCACGAAAATCTTTTTTTGTTTGATATTATAATTTAACTTAATTGTGACGAAATTTACTTTTTTGATAAAATAATTATTTTATTTTAACAAATATTTTGTCTCTGTAAATTATATTTAGTGACGAAATAGCAACCGCGACAAAATAATTTTTGTTGTCTTATGTATTTTCGTCACAAAAATCCTTTATATTTGATGTTTATATATAAGTTAGTTATGACAAAATGTACTTCTCGTGACGAAATGGTTAATTGATTGTGGTAAATATTTTATTGCGATAAGTTAATTATAGTAATGAAATTTCATTATTACAATAAATATTATACTATGGTAATGAACACAATTTTGTCGCAATCATAGTTACATAAATCGCTTAATAGCCTACGATCTACGTACTGTACGTTGCGATCCAAAATGCGGTACGAACGCGTTCCAGGTCGTTTCAAAATCACGATTCGGTATGAAGAAGGCCTGAAGCCAGTTAGAATATCAAAGGTCGTCGGAGACGAAAAAAGTTGAAGCTTTCTTCGTAGATCTAAGTTGATAGACCCATTTTTAGGCGAAACTAACCTTGGATCTGAAACAAGGGTGAGGAAACGCTTCGGGTGACATCTCTCTTTTAATTCCGACGCCGACGTACGGTGACGACCGTCAATGACGCGACGGAAAACCCACCGGAATCTAGGCGCCGGTTGTATCTCCCTTTCTCTCTCTCTCTCTCTCAAAACTGAGAAATGAAACAAAATGAAAATAAGCCTGTGTTTCTGGATAACGTAAAAAGCATCGTTTTCTTCATTGATGACCCAAAATATTGAATTTACAGATATTAACGATGAAAAAAAAACAATTTTTAAAAACTTTTAAAGAGTACTTGAGAAGCTTTCAAGTTTGATGATCTGCTGTAAAGTATCAGGGTAAGTGGCCTGCAAACTGGCATAGGTCTTTTCAAAGTAATGGGGGAAATGAGCAAATCACAAACTCCGATTTGGGCTTTGGCGGGAAAATGAGCAAATTACAAATGGCCCATTAGTTATGGACTTGGAACTCAATTTCAAGGCGTTAATGCTTACCGGTACCTGTAGGATACAAACAAGGAATTTGTACTCTTTGTTTAATACCTTTGTGTAGGGTAGAAAAATAGCAACCTAAGAAATTGGTACAACGTACCAATTTATATGGTACATCGTACTGGAGTGATCCGAAATGAGTCTACCTCTCTCGTATCGAATTTTAGGGACCTAGCGAATTGCGATCTCGTTCCACGTTCCCGTACTGGAGCGTACCGCGATCCATGTGACTATGGTCACAATATACTTTACATGAGAAGATTGTTCTAACAAACATGGTAACAAATAAATTTGGCCAGAATAAGTATATCGTGACAAATTTAGTACTTTTAGTGATAAATAATTTTGTTGAAACAATCTAAATTTCTTGTAGTGGGTGTTATGGTGAACACTTTAAAGTTTTAATGATTTTTCATAATTTTTAGTTCCTCATAATGAATTTTGATCAAAATTGGTTTTAAATGCAAATGATATCTCTCTAACAATTGATATCAAAATTTTCTAATGCTTTGATTTTATAAATTTTAATTTTTGACATAAATTTAAATATTTATGCATGTGATTTAAAATGCAAATGATATATCTCTAACAATTGATATCAAATTTTTCAAATGCATAACATTTTTGGAAAACTTTATGCATATGCACTTAATTTCAACAATCGATATTGCAAAAAGTTTATTAAAATTTAATATATTGAATTTCATATGCTACTAACATGTTTATTCATCTTTGTTGAAATTCAATTTTTTAAGTGTCAAGCTTTTAAAAGTCAAATACTTGTTTGAAATGATTTTATTGAGTGGGAGTTTAATTTTTAAAAGATTTAATGTTAAATTTACCACTTACTCTCAATTGTTATTTTAAAGTTAAATTATTTTTTATATAACAAAAATGGGGAGAAATATGGTTTGAAAAATTCAATTTCTTAATGAAAAATGGAGAGTTTTTAACATTTTCCAAAATATCTCTCTTTTTCATTAAATGTTTTATTAAGGGGGAGTTTTGCCAAAAAATAATTTTTCAAATGTTTTGTTATATCAAAAAGGGGGAGATTGTTGAACCATGTTTTATAATGTTTTGATATAACAAATTAAGACAAAATGCTTTTGGATTTGAATTGAATTTATTCAAAGTTTTCAAAAATAGTTCAAAGTCCATTAAAAGTGAATTTGAGCACAAAACTGATTTTCACGTACGAAGTACCAATACTATTCTTACAGTATCAGTACTATATGAACATTACCGATATTGTTCATGTGATATTGATACCCTAGGTATGAGAAGTATCGATACTCTCAAGGTAGTACCGATGCTACCAGCTTGCTTAAATTTCAGAATGCAAAATAGATACCATACTACTTTATATAGTAGTATCGATACCATGAAGGATATTATTGATACCGTCAGCCCCAACGGCTAGTAACAGTTAGTTTTATTTAAATATTACAAAAATAGTATCGATACTCCTATACGAGTACAGATACCTTCTGTCCTTGGCAGTTTTATTTTGCTGAGAAAACATCCAAATGGCTCCAAATCACTCCTAACGGCTATAAGCGGCCACAAACACATTCCAACATATAAATACAAGTTCAAGACACTTGAAGAAGGGTTAAAACACATATCCAAGCAATCAAACACAAGAGAAACATTTTTCACTCTTTCTTTTCTTTCTCTTGTAAATATTGTGTTTTTGTGAGCTTTAATTTGTAAACACCTTACCTTGTAGAGGTTTTATTTTCTACTTCTTTTATCCTTTTGAAAAGGAGTTTTAGTTATAGCTAAGTCTTTGAAAAGCTAGGGAGTTTGTAAAGGTTATCTCTGTCCTTGAAAAAAAAAGAACAAATTAGTGGATTTGTTGGAAAATCTCTTGCCCCTCTACTTTTCATCCATGTCTTACGTCATTTAATATATTTCTTAGTAATTGAATGCTTTTTATTTTCAGAACAAAGTTATAGACAATATCAACATCCGGGATTTCTTGGAGTTGGTACCTGAAGTGAGGGAGCTTATTAATGATTTTTACTCAAGGTATTTCATCTTCATGTTTTAGGCTTAGATTTCCATTGTTGTTGGGTTGAAAAGTGTTTTTCAAAAATATTTTAGAAAAGTGTTGTGTAAAGGTGTTGTTTGTTAATTTAAGTGTTTAGCATTGCTGTCAAAGTGTTGTGGAAAGCTAAAATGTCTATTTTAAACATATGTTGGAAGTATAATTAATTGTAAAATATGAAGAATAAATGAGGGTGTTTTGATAGTTTTACACCCAGAAGCACTTTTCCAAAAGCTAAAAGCACTATTATTTAGCTTTTGCGTTTAGGTTGAAAAGCTGGCTTGAAAAACACTTTTTATCTCAGAAGTTCCTTGTTCTTTGTTACTTACGATGCCAAAAGTGCTTTTCAACCATAATGAAGATCTAGGCCTTAGTTTCTCTGCAATGGTATAAAGGAATAAGCTTGGAACATTAAGGGGTCTTGTAGAATTCTTTTGATATTTGTTCTGGCATATTAATTGAGGCGAAGTATAAGAGGTAATATTGAAAGGAGACAAGATGGTAAGCTCATTCTTGTTGGTAGTAACTATGATAAATAACATAATATGTACTTGATTTCTTTGGTTACTAATGAGAAGCACGTATTTGTTCATCATTATTAGTCCAACTGATATTAACTATGGTAAATAGCATAATATGTGATTACTCGGTGTTTCCAGCAAATCATTATTTGTTATTACTCCAACTGATAAGAAGCATTAATTCTTGTCTGGTGATTTAGATTGTAACTTTTTTTCTTATTGCAGCCATTATGCTTCTTGCTTGGAATATATTGGAAACCTCAAACCAATCCTGGTGCTTGACATCCATTTATATGACCATGTTGAGACCCTATATGATCAAATCCGCAACAAAGCCCTCATCCAGGATACCCTCCCATTTGTTTCTGTTGATATGCGAATGATGGCCGATGCCTTTAAAACAAGTGTTGCGGGGCTAGAGAAAGAACTAGAAGTCTTGATTACTGACAACCAGATACAGGTATTTGTGGCAGTGGTATATTGCTTACATATGTTTTTTCAGTGAACGTACACGTGCAGCTTTTCAAATATTAGACCCAATTGATTTGCTAATTATTCCGCATCCCTCCAGCAGCCAATGAGTACAAATTTCATATTGTTTCTTATGAAGGTTATATGATGTCTCTGAAGGCTCGGATTGACTCGCACAACAAAATTCTTTATGCACGGCATGCAGATCAAAGAAATGCAACTTTCCAGCGGGTTTTGCAAACAGGCAATGAATTTGGTCAGGATGTCAGGGCAATGCTGATGAGGGCAAATCTTCTCAAGCGTGACTGTAATCTTAAGGCTTCCAGGAAAATCTGAACCATGGACTGAAGCATGACTCGAAATTTGGTAATATGGTTTGGTCTGGGTTCAAAGAAAAGATTGGGTCCATGGTGGTGGAGAGGGCATTTAATGGATTTCGGTCAACATTATTTTGTATATACACTAAATTTCCCTCATGAGTTTTCAACTATTGTTTTTAGGTAACATTTTTTTTAAATTTCTGATCGTGATCCTCGATCGTTTATTCTATTTTATTTTAAATAACTACCATAACACTTGCCTGACTCCACAATCTGATTGAAGCAAGGCTTTAATCCTAGATGCCCTGACGAGTGCTTTGTTTCTACATGTGTATGAAGTCATTTACTGCTGATAAATTCTCAGGTCCAGTCGATTTCTGCCTAAATCTGTGCATGTGATTCATTTGTGCCAATTCTGCCGCAAGGATATCAATACGAACCTTGTTACTGCATTATATTCGGCGTACTATCATTTGAGCCTTTTGAATTTCATGTGTAGTACTAGTGATCGACCTTTTAGGCTGTAGGATCATTTCACCTTTTTGCATCTTTTGCTGCTGTCCGCCGTAATTGATTAAATTTGGTAGCAAACCTTGTCTTGCTTCGATGGTGCTTGAAGTGTTCAATTCTTCGGACACGATGGTCAAGTTTGGGAGTGCACGGCTTTTGCCACCAGGATCAACGGGTCAACCTGTTTTGGTGGCTAATGTTGTCATGTTTACGGATTGGTTCCGTCGTTGGTCGTGGTATTACTAGTTAGAGTCGACCATCAAGATAGGGGTTTCTTCATCTCGAGATGGGTTATGGATTTATACCTTCTTTTGAATTGGATCATTTGATTAAAGAAACTGATTATATATCATCTCATATGATCATTTTGTACGAGATGAACACGGGACGTTTATTGGGAAAAAAATTTACTTCTCTTGATATAAGGTTGTAATATTTGAGAACTGATTAGAAAGTGTAAAATTTAATAATTGAGATATAAGTTTCTTCTCAAAACAACAGGCATGTGTTTGTCGGGGGATGGATCAAGTATTGGATGAGATTCATGACTCAGTGGCCCTTGCTGTATTCCAGAATGTACTTGTAACAAACAACGGTTGAAAGAAAAGGGCCATCCCATGCAATTTAGGAAATAAAACATAACATTCTGTTGTACCAAAAGTTTGGCGTCAGATTTCATGTTCAATCTGAGGAAAGAGGAAAATATGGGACTGAAAAGGAGAATGAAATTAAATGCCAATACCGATGTCTATCGCTGTAAGGTACTTTGATCTTTTTGTTAGGGTTCTCTTTAGGGATGGGCACATAGAAGTGTAGGATGAGTCTATTTTTTTTAATCGTTTCAGTTTTGATACGATCTTTATGGTTGCAATTTATTTTTGACTTTTAATGATGGTTTACATGCTTGAATTTTAAGATAAAAATCCATTGAGCCTCACACAAATAATTCATTTTCTACACGTAATACTATTGGCATCTTCACATTATTTACTGCGTGAGGGTGCATGAAAGTGGAATCATTTCAAACACTTGATTGGTCGGGACTGACGTCCTAAAGCCGACAAGACATTATCTTATGTTCCTTATATTGATGTTGCAACTTGAGGCATGACAGGTACTATTATCGGTAGATGGTTAACGGTTGTCCTGTCCATATATCATGTTTCCAGCTGGTCATTTGTTGGTAGGACTTCATTTCTTTGGGTCTAAGGCCTGTTCTTTTGGGCCTAATCCGGTCATGGTAAATATTGTCATATCAACCTCAGCTGCCATTGCCATAACTGAACTCAAAGACAACCAAGCTAGGGGAACCTGTCTTCATCAGTTTGTAGCTTCAACATTCTAGTAACAATAAGTGTAGGAATGGGGCAGTGCTTGATTCCTCAATTATCCAACTTTTGAGTTCCCCATCTTCTACTACTTGCCCCTAACTCCCAATAAAAAAAATACTGAAAGAGGATCAAAGTTTTTTTTTTTGGAAAACAAAACAAGTATACATACGTACGTACGTACATACAAACACACACACACACATATATATATATATATATATATATATATATGCTTGTGACTAACTTTAATTATGAGATCCAAAACCCTAAACATTAAACATGTACATATATAGCATAGGCGTATTATATGTAGTTAGTAATGGGATGTGTAGACATCAATTTTTTTTCATTTAAAATTATTATTATTATTAAAATTATTATTATTAGTATTATTATTATAATTATTATTATATATTATTTATTAAATATTACAAAGCCCAATTATAATAACTCAGGCCCAGATACAGAAGCCCAACATAAACCCTAAAACCCAACTAGGGTTTCTCATCTCATGCCCCAGCCGCCAGTGATCTCCACCGTTGGATCTGGAAAGATCCAACGGTCCAAAACTATCCAGCTTGAAACCCTAGGGTATCATAACCCTAGGGACCACACGACCGCCGCCGTTGCTTCCAGACGTTCCAGCTACCAGCGTTACAGCCACGAAGCCGCCGCCTCACCAGAAGCTTCCAGAAGGCCAGCTGCCCCCCACATGTCGCGGCTATGGGGTGAGTCACCACATAGCTCGGTGGCTCACCGAACTTCCCCCTCTAGACCGGTCCGAGCATGGCTCGGTGGTGGCTATAAAAGCCACCGGATCCTGCAAAACAAAAGGGGGAAGAGACAGAGAAAGAAAAAAAAGAGAAAGCACGAACAGCAAGCAACGGAGACAGAAACGAAGAGAGGGCAACCAACAGAAAAAAAAAGAGGAACCACCAATAACAGACAGCAACAAGAACACGAACCCACAGCAGCCAATATAACAGAAAGAGAAGAAAATAAGAGAGAGCTTACTCTGTCATTGGAGGCTTTCGAAACGTCGCCGGAAACCTTCGAACTTCGAAGGTAAAATCCTAGATCTAGGAATTTCTAAGGATTTTTAGGATAAATAGAGGCCGTATTCGACCTCAGGACGTTTAGATCTACGCTTTGGGGGTATTTTTGTAAATTCCTGCCACCGTTTACGGTGGCCGGCGACGGTGATCAGCACCGGAGTACGGTGGCCTATGGCTGCCGGTTTCCCTCCCGGCGAGAGAACCTAGAGAGAAGCCAGAGAAATGCTTCTCTCTGTTTTAGAGAGAAGCTGAGAAAGAAGCAAATGAGGAAGCTTGGCCCTTCGGGCCAGGCGTTTAGGGTATTTAAAACCCTCCCCAAACGACGTCGTTTTGGGGAGGGTATCTGTGTAATTTAAGAAAGGGTAACCCTTTCCGCAACCCTTATAGGTCTGTAACTTTGCAATTTAGTCACTGAAATTGACTTTTAATCATTTTAATTTAGTGTTTAAATTTTATTTTATTATATTTTAACCATTAACTGTATTTATAAATCTTTAGGATAAATAATAAATTTAGTCCCTTAGGTTTTAATAATTATGATTTTAGTCATTAAATTAATAAATGCATAAAATAGCATGTTTAGCCACTATTAAATAATTAATTACGAATTAGAGTATTTAATTTCAATATGTTATAATTTAGTCACTAATTTTAATACTTTTATTTAATTGCAAGTTTATTACTTTTCTTTTAATTATTGTTTAAATATATTTTAATTTTATATAATATTTTAATTAGTATTATTATTTTATTTTTAATATATATATTATTTGATTAATTTTATAAATTAATAATGTTTATTTGTTTTTAATATCGAAGAAAATGACAGTCTTGATATAACTGGATGTCCTATTCTGGTATTTTAAATAATTAAATATTATAATTTAATTTTTTTCTTAAATTATTTTACTTTTAAATTTTTACATTTTTAGTTATTTATTTATTTTTCAATATCAAAGAAAAGAACTGTCTTAAGGTACCTAGAAGTTCTTTTCTGATATTTCTAAATAAGTAAATATCTTATTTATATATTAAATTATTTGAAATAAAAGGATTATGAATTAAATATATTTTTTAATTTCTAATAATAGAGACAATTTATAATTAAAAAGTACCAATTGTGGGCGTTGTAGGGGTGCTAATCCTTCCCTAAACGTAACCGACCACGAATCTCTTTTTATTATTAAAAAGAACGATTTTTTGGTTATAAACGCAGATCGGTTTATCTTTTAATTGATGTTTTGTTAAAAACTCTTTTAAAATATATTTTTTAGGTATTTGACCTACCTGACCCAAAAGGCCGATGGCGACTCCCAAATTATTTTCAAAACCATTTATTCACATTACTTTTCCCGCCAAATAAATATTTCGTACCCGGACGAAAACCGGTTACGACAGGATGGATCAAAAGCTTTTGAAAAGATACTATGCTTTATGAAAGTTTTCAACTTTGAGAGGCGCCTTTTTCAACTTAGGACAATGGGGGGGTTGGTGTTGGGACCGTGAAAAACAAGGCGAAGGTATTGCTTTGCTTTCATTTTTCTTATGTGGAAGCAGTCTTTCCGAGAAAAGATGAATGGCGTTTTTTATGTAAGCTGCACGGAGATAGGCTGGAAATAGTAGAAGCAGCCGTTAATGCAACATCAAAAAGAAAGAGAGCAGGTGGAGTGGGCCTTGCCCTCTCTCTCTCAAAAAAAAAACCAAAATGTTACCTCAAATTCAATGCCTTTACTTCTTTTGCATGAACCATGATTCAAACTCAAGCTAGTTCGATAGAAAATTCAACACCCACGACTGAGCTATCTTGGATCCGTTTCATCTGCCTATATTAACTCACTCCCTCTATAATTAGACTTGTTTTTCGTCGAGCATCTTCGAAACTAACAAGTTGGTGAGGTTTTTGTTAAGGGTAAAATACACAAATGATCAGTAATGTTTAATTAAGTTTTTGTTTTCACCACAGATGTTTCAGAAGTCACAAATCAGTCACTAACGTTATCGTTTATTATAAATTATTCACTCGACGTTAATAGCAGGCTTAACAAAAATCACAGCTGGTCCTTTGGATCGTTGACCGTCACAGTGGAGAACCTTTAAACCTCATTTAACCATATTAGACC